AGTCGCGACAACGATCACATAATCAGCAAAAGCACAGCAACTGATAAAGGTACCAACCGGCTGTCATGCAGACCAATCACACGGTTTTATTCGCTCAATATCAAGATTGCCTTGTTGTTTTTCGGACACTAATAGCACAGAGAATTCCATTTTAGTTGGAAGAACAACAAACTATACTTCTAAGCTGCTAACTTGTAAATTTTATGTACTTTTTACATCTTTATTACCTTCAATGTCAAATGTTACACTAAGCCGTGTTATCCGCTTTGGGGAAGTTTGTTACTGTCGAAATTTTGAATACATGGTTCAAAAAGGAGTTTTCCGTGCCGCTTACATAACATGGCAGATGTTATAGATAATACGCCCTATTCGCACGAGAGACATCCTCAAACTTTGCACAACTATCCAAACCACCCACTCTTCTGACTAATTGTCCCTGTGCCGATTTCACATTAGTCAGTGTCCAATTAGCGTGCCTAGGTTGTTCTGCCTTTCAAATTAGCGTATACCATCGGCGAAGCGCGACACGAGGGAATTTTTAGGTGATTGCAATGATTGTCAAAATACCCAGCAGTTTTTCCAGAACTTGGTCGCGTCTCTATCAAATGTCGTATAGCCGTGGCGATAACACACTAAAGGTCTCAGCGGAACTATTTGCTGAGAATCGAACCCGTCTTGTAGCAGCACTCAAGGTTACTTTTTTAACTGCTCTGTATGGACTTCCCATTAGCCCTCCCGTGTAATCATATCGATGGCAAATGGAGGGGTATAAATTTGTCCACACCCACCTGACGCCCATGTCAGAGATGTGTACTCTCCCTTTTAAACTTCATGGCGGTATTTTCAGAATGTTGCGCCAGGAAGTGTAGTGCTTCTACAGGGAGGAACCGAGAAGAATCGTTACAATACTGATGCAGAAGACCTACCTTTTAGACAGGTTTTTTTGGCAATCTATTTCAAAATCCTATATAAATATCGAAACAGACAATACGTTGTTCATAGGACACATCGTAACTTTACAGTAGATGGACGTTCAGTACA